CCCAACACACATAACATTTCTAATCGGGGCTGGACCTTAACACTAAGGTCAACAGCCCCAGGCCTGCCGGAACAGCCAGGTTTTAACGGCTTTCCTGAAGGCCATGAGAGTGGGTGAGGTCCGGACCTCTAGGGGAAGCTGGTTCCACAGGGTCGGAGCAGCCACAGAGAAGGCTCTCCTCCAGGGGCCCACCAGCCGGCACTGTCCGGATGACAGTATCCGAAGGAGGCCCACCCTGTGGGATCTTACTGGCCGCTGGGAGGTGTATGGCAGTAGGTGGTCTCGCAGATAGGCTGGTCCTGAGCCATGTAGTGCTTTAAAGGTAATAACCAACACCTTGAATTGCATCCGGAGACCAATTGTACTATAAGTACATTTGATATACTTGAGACTAAACAACTCTGCTAATTATTTTTGTAATTATGCAATTATTAATTACAATTGTACTTAAAAAAAAAGCTGCTTTCAGTACTTGACAGGAAAAGTGGGTAAATTGAAATACATTCTCTGCTTGATTATAGTAGCAGATGCTGAATAGACAGCAACAGCTGTTGGTAGTGATTGGGGCTGGGGATTCTTTCCTGTTTTTTTCCAGTCTGGGGTGTCATGGAATGACAACTCTCTCTCTCCACAGGTGTGAGATTTGTGGCTATCAGTGCCGTCAGAGGTCTTCTCTCAACTGGCATATGAAGAAGCACACTTCAGAAGTCCAATACAACTTCACTTGCGAACACTGTGGCAAACGTTTTGAGAAGCTCGACAGTGTCAAGTTCCACAAACTCAAGAGCCACCCAGACCATAAGGCTGCCTGACCCTCATCACGAATCACGAATCACTTTAATTATTGTTCCTCCAAATACCTAAACCGGTCGAGCGCATGTCTTACATAGTCACAGCTGAAGACGTGTGTGCTACCCAGAGCACAAGGGTCCATTCCTCTGGTTAGAATGAGATGGAGTAGTGTTTTTTTTTTTAAAGGCCAGATGATGACTGACAAAAACTTTTGAAGTTTGATGTGCAAGTTTGCTCTGGGTGCTCTGACAGCATAAACTTAAAACATCTTATAACTGGAGATTATGGTGCTAAACTGTCCTGTTTCTTAAGGGGAAAAGAACAGCGGAAGCAACAGCCAAGAATCATCTTACCCAATTAAAGTATCTGTGCTTTGCTGGCAGTACCTACATTTTAGCCACCTGATACTTGATCTGAAGGAGGAGGGGCAGCATGAAAAGTCTACTTGCCTATCATTTAACTATGGAGAGACCCCTTCCAATGTATATCTGCAGGCCTAGCTCAAGTGAATGTTTTGTATCTATTGGCAACAGTTGAAAGAACAATATTGGCTGATACGCATTAATTCAATTTCCTTGAAATAGACGGTTGAACGTTGTCATATATTGGCCCAAGCATGGTTCTGTTTCAGGAACTATTTTCCCTTTCAACATTCAGGGCTATTGCATTTGAAGACAATCCAGAGTTGGTATTTGTACCTGTTTTCTTGAAATATTGGTGTTATATAAAGCACAGATTCTGATCCTGGGTAGACCTGGATTCCAGCTCTAAGTTACTTTATTATTGCGGTTATCTGTCGCCATCCTCTATACTATGCTATATTCTTGTTTGCAAGTAAGGAATTTCTAAAATTTAATGCCATCAGTGTATTTTTTTAATACACTGTTTTGACTTTAAAATGCCATTTAATCCTTAGGACTAAATGTGAAAATTGACAAGATTTTTTTCTATAGCGGAAATTGACATGGCTCTGTGTGAGCACTCATAACTGGGGGTGTGCCGTTTCTTCACCATGACCCCCCCTCCCCAAAACTCCTCTTTTTGAAGAACCTGTTTATATGGAATTGTCAGCATCAAAAATAGCTTAGTTGGGACAATTTTTGTCATTCTGGGATGGAGGGGGCAGGAAGAGCTCTTTTTTTGTTAGTTTTAGATAGATCTACTTTTGGAGATGATTTTATGTGGCTGTTCTTGCCATGTTCCTCAAAGATGTACAAGCCTTTGCTGAACTGAATTTAAAACTTGCCAAACTTTTTCTTCCTGTTTTCTGAACTTGCAAGTGCTAAAATGGACGGACCTTCCAAATGCTGCATTCCAGCTCCCCATATGTCTTAGTAACCCTTGTTGCCCTTGGTGAAGGATCAAAGTAATCTAGAGGCAGGATATATCTTATCATTTT